CCTTATTTTATGGATCTGGAAAATTGGTAGGTAAATGTAACAGCGGATCATCGAGTAATATACGGGGCGGATCTTGCTACTTTCTTGCAAACCTTGGCGAAAATCATCGAGGACCCTAAAGACCTTACACTATAGTGTTAGTTGCATTTTTGAACCCCAAATTTATCCTTCTTTTTCACTAGTTTTCTTATGATTTGATGTTTCTTTTCACACATATTTGAGTCGGATGTGATCTCCATGAAAAGTGGTAGAAACTAGAAAGTAAGAAATTGTTTTCTGAGTCTGCTCTGTTGCCCATGTCCTGTGAAGAACGAGAGCATAATTTTGGAGGATGTTCTGGAAAGACCTATTTATGGAAAGCTCTGACAATAATTCTCATAATCTACTCGGTTAGGTGAACTCTCCACAATGGTACAATATTGTCTACTTTGAACATAAGCTTTCATGGCTTTGCTTTGAGATTTCCCGAAAGCTTTCATAAGATAGTATTCCTTGATTATAAATTCATGATCATTCTCTGAATTAGCTAAGGTGGGACTTTTATCCAACCCATATTCTTTGATTAAAATTTCATGAATTTTTGGAAAATAAAAAATTTGGGACAGTTTGTAGATAATATTTTTTTAAGTCAACCCAACTAACGCGAAATTGTGTTGGATAGTTATAACCGATGTTACTGATGTGTTGTGATTAATGAATGTTTTATGAAATTTTAATTAGTGTAACATGTATGATAGATAAGTATGATTTTTTTAAAATAATAAAAAAAAAACCGTCAATTCAACCCAACTTAACTCTCTATTTAGGTTGTTTAGGTGACCAACACAACCAACCCAAAAGTTTTCCTATCATAACCTCCACTTTCGTTTTTCGAACCTGTGGAAATTTGTACTTTAAATCTTTAGCAAGTAGTATATATCAATTATCGCTTAATTTATGCTCACTTTTATAGCAAGCAATATAGTTGTAATGTTTAAGCAATAAGGTCTACGTCTCAAGCAAGTAACGAGCAAATGACTATTCTAAAAATAAATTAGTTTCTTTATGACCCCTACACGTGTCATAGTTATGATTGTTATGTCTTGCTCTACTATGTTGTATTGTCTCATACATACCATGTTATGTTATGCTGTTATATGTCAAGTTTATAAACTATGCTATAATGTTATTAGGTCATGTTGTAGAATCATGTTCATGATATTGATAACCGATGGTGCATAAGCCTCCATACAGTATACAATGTAAGCTATTCTAAGTATGAAAGATTTGATCGAAATTACATGTGCATAATTCATAGGCTCATTACGTTAAAATGAATGGAGATTTGATTTATATCATAAAATGACTACATTTGTGTGTGTTATATTCATCGGGATACTTCACCCGTTATGTTTAGTACGAATGTGTACCTTACCACATTTATGTTTGTCATGATGCTATGCGAGCTCTTTCCCTCTGTGGTGTCTAGCAACCCATTAGTGAGTGCTACCCCGATGAGCCATCCTTAGGGGTACGTATATCAACTCTCCTAGTGGGTTCATGTGCGCATGCATGGGCCGTGTGTAGGGAAGTACTACTCATTCAACCTTGTCTGGATTGAAAAACATCCTAAGGCCAAGCCATAATTACCTATTGAGTCTTTCTATACTTCATCTACGTGCTACTCTTATTTTTAGGTAAAATTAAGACACCTAGTTACGGATGACGACATCATAGTGAAAGTTATGAAATCAGTGTTAGTGTAGTTGCATTTATTTTTGTTTAGTAGTCCACGGTTAGCTCATGGGTTTGTTTATTTTATTTAATTGATGACATTTATGTTCCGCTCTACTATTTGCAACTACGTTATTTTAAGGTATTTTGAATGCTAAGCCTACAACACCGTTTATGAAACATTTTAAACAAATGCTTTCTGCTCCAATTTCTATTAGAAAAATAGGGTCGTTACATGTTGAGTCGTTAGGTCGTCTATTCAATTTTTTTTAAAATAAAAATAAAATATCAATTCATAAAACATTTATTTATTTATTTATTTTCAAACATCTAATCAATATTTGCACCTCAAATTATTTATTAAATAAAAATTAAAAATAAATTTAAATTAATTAAGAAAATTTATGAATCAAATCAATTCATAAAATTCTCGTTTATTTGAACTAAATCCAACTCAAATAAGTTCATAACTCAAATTGATACGAGCTGCATTAAGTTGATCGAATTTTTTGAATGATCATAACGGTTTTACTCCCTAATTTCTCCCGACATTATATCCCGAGCTTAATGACCTATAGATATATATATATATATATTATTAAAAGGAAGAGAGAGAAATAGAGGTGAGACACAAGAGATCCGTCGCAAAAATAAATGCAAAAACTTAAAGAGTGAGTTGGCAGGTGAGATTGAGAACTGACGTTTCCACATTGGCAAACGGTGGGTGACAAGTCATCAACTCCAAACTCAACCCTTCCACAAACAAACAACACCCTTAAATTTCAATGCCACGTCCTCCAATTATTGCACCCAATCCGGCGCCACGTCCTCCCTAATTTTTTTTTTTTTTTTTTTTTTAATTGTTTCCATCTCCACCTACGTTTATTTCAAACCCCGATCACCCGAACCAATTAAATTGAGTTATTAATTTATTTAGGTCCGATCGAGCTTGTTAGGTTATGGAGCCTACTTATTAAAAAGTTATATCGATACATAGTGTTAAGGATATTTAGTAATAAATTATAGTTTACCATATATATTATATTTGATATTTTATTATAACGCAAATATCTAATATTTGCCTTATTATCATATGTATCTTTCCATTTTTTATTATTTTCATTTATTACTATTTCCATATCTTTGTAATTTATTTGATTATAAATAAGACAACTTTCACACCATTTAGGTGTGGTGGATTAATCAAACATTCACACATAGTAATATATAGTACATGATTATATCTGGTTATATATATATCCACTACTTGAGAATGTATTTCTGTATTATCTCTTATTGTATATGCCTGAAGTTATCCATACAAAACTTCTAGTCAATATTCTCGTTCTTTGTGTTCATCTAGATCGAGTGTGCCCGTTGTTGTGCGATCCTAATACAACTAAATCGAAAGTTTATAAATTCTTCTAAAATTATATTATATTAAACTAAATATCAAAATTTTATTAATTAGATTAATTCAATTGAATCGAATTAATACGAATTTATTATTTATTTTATAACTATATACATATTTTTATTTAATTTTATAATTATGATTTTTTATTAATTATTTTTAACTAACACTTAAAAATAATTTTTGTAATGATAATTTTTCAAAATATATATTCTAATTGAGTTTCAAAATTTAATTAAAATTTGGAAATTAATTAAATAGATTTTTTATTTTTATTAAAAACAAAATTTTGAATAAATAATTTCAATAACCTTAACCTACCAAACCGAACAATTGTGGTTAGGTTGGGTTGAGTTCGGTATTTAATAAGAGTTAGTGATATGAACCAAAAGACATCAATCATACAATATACTTCAATGAAGATGTGAAGAAAAAGTTGTCAAAATTATCAAAAGATGTTTCAATTCATGCCACATTGAAGAAGAATGAAGTTTGATTGTTATAAATTTTGGGTGGGTTACAATTTAGAGTTATTGTATTTTATTTATGTATTTTAAGACTTTATTTACTATAGGTTACAATTACATAATGGTTAATTATAGTCATTAATATGAATGTTACAGCTCTTGGAATGCCTTTAATAGTTTCATTTTTAGGCTATATAAAGCCATGTATGTTGTATATGCAAGAGACTTAAAAAATATAGTAAAAAAAAGCATTTGTGCTCTTCTTTAGCCAATGACTAAGTTTCTTTGCAATTCTATGTAGTTTAGGTTGCATGTAGAATCATTCGAGCTCGACATGATCAATTTTGCTTGTGGAGTGATTCGAATCTCAAGGAAGTGTTCTTGCCTTGAGATATTTGATCAACAAGAATCATTCAAGCTAGACATGATCAATCTTGCTTGTGGAGTGATTCGAATCTCAAACAATGTTCTTGCCTTGAGATATTCGATCAACAAGGTAATCCGAATCTTACTCCCCTTGTAGTGATTCCTTTTCTTATCAAGTTGTTTGAGTTCGAAAATTTTATCGAAATCAACCCACTAACTTAACTAATTTTAATATTTATATTTTCGAAATACTATTTTTATTTTTGAAAAGTAATTATTTTTACCTTTCATTTAATGACTAACAAAAAAAAAATTACATAAATCGAAAATATTTTAATAGACCTAATATAACATTCAGATAAAAAAGAGGTACATAAATCAACTAAGATTAGGTGCGAATGAAAGCTATATTGAAGATATGATAACTAAGAAATGCTTAAAAAATTGAAAGTTACTGTCCATGCACCTTCTTTTTTAGTGGTCTAATCATAGAAACTTCAAATTTAAACGTGTTTGGGTCAATCCAATGTTGGGTGGCTTCCCGAGAATTCTCTTAAGAAGGAACGTCGACGTCATCAAGTATCAAATCTGAATCTTGGACCTTACCGAAAATAAAATTTTAAAGAAATATATTGTTCAATTATGATGTAAAAACAACCTAATGGAATTGTTCGAGTCATGTAGAAATAAGGTTCAAGTCTATCGGCCTGTTTTGGCTATATACATCACTATACTTCCACTTGACACATGTCGTGATGATAAATAGCTCATTTCGTCGTGACCTTCTCTTGAATTCTCAAAACTTCTGTCGCTCCATCCTTGCAGGGGCAGAAAACCCGTCGCTGTCTCGGTTGTGCTATCAGAAGCTCTGGAGAAGTTGGAATAGGAAAACATCATTTTGGGGCGGGCTTACTACTTAGATGCTTTGGGCGTTTATCCACTCCGCAGTTGGTTATTAATTATAAAATAAATTAAAAAAATAGAATAATATATCCATAATTGTCCAAATAAATAAATAAATAAATAGAAATTATAGCATTGAAGTTGAACTGCAAATTCCCCAAACCCAAAACACACACAAATCACCGCCACCAAATCCTCAATTCTCTCTCTGAAACTTCCAATTTCTCATCACAAATTTCACAATCTTCATCCCAAATCCATGGCGGTTGAAGACGACTTCAGTTTCCCCACCGCTTTAGAGCCCTACAGTCGCTGCGGCATCGATTCGCCGCCGCTCTGGCGCCTCTCTCCTGCCGCATCGCCGATTTCTTACCGTCAACGAACAGCCTCCAACCGGAGTTTCAGAGACGATCAGAAGAGCGATGGGTTCGCGTCGGTGAGATTCTCGGCGTCGTTGCAGAGGAGGAGGAGATTTTCGAGCGATGCGGCGATGGACGGCGAGGAGGAGGAGGAGGTAGCGGCGGAGAAGATGGATGTTCTTTGGGAGAATTTCAACGAGGAGTTGTCGAGGAGTGGGAGATCTAGGTTGATGAAAACGGCGGAAATGGAGGAGATTGAGATTGTGAAAACGCGGCGGCGAATGACGGAATTGAATCTGTCGGAGACTTCCGGCGCGGTGGCGACGAGGAGGAAGGCGACGGGGAAGACGGCGTTTGTTAAGGCTTTGAAGAAGCTTTTCTTGTTGCATAACAATTCCCGCCGGAATCTGCAAACTCGATCACGGTGAGAAACAGAGGATTTTTTTTTTTTTTTTTTTTTTTTTTTTTTTTTTTTTTTTTTTTTTTTTTTTTTTTTTTTTTTTTTTTTTTNGAGAAACAGAGGATTTTTTTTTTTTTTTTTTTTTTTTTTTTTTTTTTTGGAGGGAGCCAAAAAAATGTAAAAATTAATAAGAAATTACAATTAAAAACAGGGTTTTAATTTAATTTAATTTTTTTTTGGGAGATTCAAGAATTTATGTTTTTTTTATCTAAAAAATTCTTGAGAGTATAATACAAAATTTTGGATCCGTGGTGACTCGAGTGACCTGACCGAGTTCACAATCTCAATTCAACCCTCTATTTTCGGGTTAGTTTGTGTTGGGTTTTTAAAAAATTTATTTATCTGTAATATATAGTAATACACGTTATATTAATAACTAAAATCTGTGAAATATCAAACAGTGTCACAATGCATTATTAACACCGGTCATCGGCCACAAATGGTATTTTTTTTTTTTCGTAATAATTTCAAAAACTTTTTTTTTTAATTTTTAATTTAAAAAATTGGGTAAGTTTAATTTTCAAAAACTAATAATTATTAAATAAAACAAATTTAGTTTAGGTGTAAATAAGACAATAAAAAACGAAACATAATTATTTATCAATAATCATTATATCATTGGCGTACCATAAAGATATTTGGTAACGAGTTACTTGTTTCATTAAGCATAAGTTCACGTGTCAGGTATATCATTGATTTTTATATTGATAGCCAAAAGGTACCTTTAGAAGTAGATATGTCACAAGAAATGTGGCATAGAGGCAAGCCGAGTCTAAAGCAAAAGATAATTGATGTGTTTCTAAATATTTTCTAATGCTTTTTTATTTATAGGGGTATGAAGATAATGTGTAATGACCTAGATTTTTACGGACAGAAAGCCGCTATTTTTAAAACAACGGAAAGAAATACTGAATAAAATAAATAAAACATTAAAAAGTAAAAACACCATATACGTACTAAGGTGTCATGGTCTTTACTTGCGATGTCGTCATTAGCCGTCCTAGGGTATTTTGCCTTTACTTGAAATAGAAGTATCACGTGACTTGAGTATTTTTAAGAAATACTTAGTAAGTGACTCAACTATTGGAGTTTGAGAACACAAACATGAATCTATTGTTAAAATCATCATAGGGGTGGCCTTCAGTCCAGATAAAATTGAATGTGTAGTACTTCCCTATACACGACCCACACGTATGAGCGTGGATCCCCAAGCGGTTCACATCCCCTGGATCCATCATAGTCGGGCTAGCTGTCCGTAGCCGATGTCCAAAGATCAGTAGACCCCCGAGTGTCATGCGAGGCATGATGATGATGATCATCATCATCATAGTGTACACGCTTGTACTCAACATCATAAATGGAGAAGTAACTCGATGTATATGTACATACAAAATGCATGAAGTTCCTATAGTTTTCATCTTTACATCATCTCTATGACACAACCCTATACACAATTCACATATTACTCTAAGTAACCATCATTAACCTTCCTACGTTCATCATCATTAACAATAACTAGGGTTGTATATTAAAATAATCATTGTCATAATACATCATGGTATTTAATACATCACATCATTTTAATATGTAATAACATCATATTAAGTCATTTCATCATCATACATCATCATCATCGTATCGTCATCATATAACGTCGTCGTGATAGCATTATCATATAATACAGTCACGTCCTCATATATCATAGTCTTATCATCATATAATATAAAGTTGAATTATGCATAAGAGCATTGGTTATGATGATGTTAGCTACTTTAAGTTAGTAGAAAAGTAGACTGATATGGTAGGTCCCACTCATGATTGTGTGTGCTTGCATTTAACCCAGATAGGGGGTCGTTTATTAAAATACTCAAGTCATGTGCTGCTCTTATTTTTCAGGTAAAGGCAAGGCTCCCTTGTACGACTGACAATGACATCGCAACCTAGGAAACCGTGGCACATGCTTAAGGTAGTTTTGCCATTTGAATTTAGTAGATTATAGGTAAGTATAGGTGATATTTATTTTATTTTCAATTTTTATCATTTTATTTAAGGGTCTTAGAGTAGACGTGTACGGCTGACCAAGGTCATGTTTTATTATAAAGTTCTCAATGAAATATTTCCGCATATAATGCCTATGATATGTAGACAGTAGCAACTTTAGGTTAAATAGAAAATCTAGGGTCGTTACATTAACGTTAATTTCTGAAATTTAATTCTATCTAAGGAGTCTCACGATCATAAATTAGAATTCTACTATAATAATTGACTCACCTAATTCTAGGTAAAATAATTTAAACTAGCTAAATCTAATTTTGCATAAAATAATTTAAACTAACTAAAGGGTAGTCATACTAACTAATTTAAACTAGTTAAAAGGTAGTCATACAAACCTTAAACGCTTCCGAAGAGTTGAAACTAATAAGAAAGGGTCGGGTCTAAGTATATGAGACCTATGTTGGATCAGCCTAAACGTCGGCCTAGAGCCGTCAGAAAATGTGTTCTCCAACTCGTTTCAAATTGCTCAATGAGATGAAAGGAAGACCAAGGGACCCCCATTTTATAACGGAGTCCACTTTCATCTTTTTTTTTTTTTTTTTTTCTAATTTTGGGTTATCACAATTTAATTTTGTTTAATTCTAAATAAAATTGAATTATCTTGATGATCAAGATCGAGAGTAAAGAAAACTTATTTCTAAACTCGTGATTCGAACCAGCTCACGGAGGTTCGATGAACACCACTTAAATGACTTTAGCATGCAATTTCTAAAACACAAGATAACTCTTAACAAAAGTTAAATTAAACTCTATTTTTTTCGATTCTAAATATGGTATCTACCTTGAAAGTAAGGAAGACTTTACATAGTACTTTGAGACCAAGAGACAACTTAAATTGGCTAGTTGGTTGTCAAGATCCATTTTCGATATTTTAGATCTTAAACCGTGACAAAGAAGACAGATAAACAACAACACACTTCAATTTAAAATGAAATTTCATTACAAGATGGTGTTGTTCAAATTATTACAATTGGAGAAGTGTGTTTGGGATACAATTACAAATGACTCAAAATGTAAAAATATATTGACGCTCTAGAACGACCCCTTTTGTGATCGCATAGCTCTCGAACGCTCCTCTACTTCGACCGTTAGCCCACGGTCACCTGAAAAAGAAAGAAGAAAAGAGTGAGTATAAAAATACTCAGTAAACAATCTGTTTGTAGACTCTCATCACATCTTTAACCTAGTAGGTATGCACGAGCTTTACTCTGGGTTTTAGAAAGTTCATGTCAGTCTTTACTACTATTTGAATATTTGGGGTGCCTCAAAATTTTGAGCAGTTCGTTGCTCATGGATCCACGCTGGGTATAGAAGGTGGTTCACCTTTTTTCTAGCATTATGGGTCTACCAAGCGACAAATCACAAACTACTCTTCAGTTTTTTAAATTGGGTAGCTTACTTTGCCTATGTAGTGTGAATCAATGTCTGGGTCGATGTGCTACCGCATAGAACTCTCTCTAGAGGTGACAATATGATGTGTGCTAACCTGCTCATCAACCATGGGAGGTTAGCTGGTGAACATTTCCCATAGGACCATTAGTCACCTAAGATCGGGGAAGCAACCCTCTATGCTTGCTAGCTACCGTAATTACCAGTGTGATCTCACACCCTCTTTCAGGATGGATATACATTACAGACGAGATTTCACACCCTCTCTCAAGAAAAATCTGCATTACCCACGTGATCTCATACCTTTTCTCAGGACGAATTTTTGTGCGGGACAATCCAACTGAACTATCAAATCTCACAACCTTAATTGGCCCTATGCCTAACCTGACGATACGAGTACCAAAGTAGAGAATGGAAAGGGTGGCGAAGACTTTGATGGCACTATCAAACTAGGTTGATTGAAGGAGGAAAAATGCGAGAGGAGGAGAAAACCCATGATGCTAGTGAGTTCAAGCTCCAAACTGCGACTATAGCAGGCGATGTCGAAATCACAACTTAAGACCCATCCTCATTGGAGTTTGCTTTGTTCTCGAGATCACGACGTATAGGACGTCAAACCAATAAATTTTATTCTTTAACCCTTCTTTTCGTCAACGGTGTAAATTTCATGCAATTTTTAGACTTAATATGATAGAGGTACGTTTTATATTAGAAAAAAAAATTCAAGAACGGAGCATGTGAAGACTCACAACTCATATTATCTTATTTTAGTCCTCTACTCTACCAACTGAACTATACCAGCCATTTCCGACACATTAGACTTATTTATTTTAATGGTAAACTAGCTACGTGAAGATTTTCAGTCATTTGCTCTACCAACTAAGCTATGTCGGTTATTTTCAACACGTTATCCTTATTTTAATAGCAAACCAGTGACACGAAAATTTTCAGTTCATGACTTCGTTTTTAGTCATTTACTTATATATCCATGATTAACCAATAATGTCCCACCATTGTCTCCTCCATTTATTTCATATCCAATTTGATTTTTTTTTTTTATTAATATAGAATAGTAAATATGTGAAAGACCACTTTATTGATCAAATTGACCAAATTAAGAATCAAATCAAATCCTATTCCAAATATCCCTTTCCTCTGCTCAGTGGTTTAGGGTTAACCTTTCTATTCCGTTTTTGAGCTCATTGTACCACTTTGTATTGTTCATCATCATTTCATATCCATTCGGACAACGGGTAATCGCTCTTTGACACTCCCTCATCCTATCGTTCGCTAACCATCATGATTCAATTTCGAAATGGACGAATTTCATTGGTTATTGATCATTTTTCTTGCAGAGATTGATGGGTGTGATCGATTTTTCAAACCCTTGCACCCGTATCCTTCCTGCAGCTGAGGCATCGCGTCGAGCCAATTGCTCAGTTGCTGAGCGAAGGAAGTGGGCTGTTGCTATGACATCTCAAATTCCAGTAGAACAGGTTCATGTGAGTCAACAAAGGTTGGCTGGTGACTCTTTTATCCGACCCCATTTGAGGAA